TGGAAGATATTCGTCGTCTTGAAGTATTCGACTGCAGATGTTTACGTAGTTTGGCTCGGGTTGGATGGAGCGAGCTTGTAAGCAACTCTGAGGTGAGGCGTAGCGTGTTTGGTAATGATTCGTTGGAGATTTCGTTGTCCCATCGAATTCAGATTAGTCGGCTTCGCTGGTTAGGACACGTATTGCGCATGTCCAGCCATCGTCTGCCGCACCGCGCCTTATTCGCAGTTACGGCTCCAGGTTGGAAGAAACCGCGTGGTGGTCAACAGATGACGTGGAAGCGAGGCATGAATAAATGCACAGAGCGATTAGGTAGAATCGGTGTCTCCCGTCTTCCAGGTTTGGGTCTGAAAGACTCTACAACTGGTTGGCTGGAGACATTGAAGGATATGGCGACTGACCGGCAGCAGTGGCGCTCTTGTTGTCATTTCTTAACAAGGCAGAATGTTTGAAAAAAGGTATGCATGAACACTTCGACTGTGTACTCTGTGTGTGGAACATAGAGGTTATTTTTCTTTGCCTCCCTCCAAGTAGGCACAATCCCTCTCCATCTTGTGCTTTATCACTTGATTTGTGTACATTGTGAGCTTGGCGAGCTTCACTGTATCTCGCTGTACGATGATGATGTCTACGAAAAGGGTATCGGTGCTCCAGAATTTGACGATGAGTGAAGATGTGGTCGATACAGTCTCGACCAGATTTAAAATCTGCCTGACTCTCACGTGCGGTGATGAAAAGGGTTGAGCGTTATGCATTTTTTTGATTGGTATTATTGATGTATGTAGCTTATGGATATATTTTCGATTTTTCTTTACAGCTCCGTTTGTTGTACATAGTGTACATAAGTCATTCACAAGAAAATGAGGGTTAAAGGCCGCGATAACGTCAGTGTGGAGAACGGCGACTGTTTGTCCAAAATGCCTACTGCCACTGCTGAACAATTAAATATAGCGAAGATGCTGTCAAAACCAGGCGATGACGTTGATTTGCGTACTCATGTTCAAAAGGTGGGCTTCGGTTATAATCTGACCGTTTTCTTCAGCTGCAAGAATTGACCGAATGCACAGAGGATCAGGCAGTGACTGCTTTATACGACTGCGAAAATAATCTTCAACGGGCAGTAGAGTTGTTGCTCGATAAATTTCGTTGTGGGAATGACGAGGAATGGCATACTACTGGGAAGAAATCAAAGCCAAAGAATATACCAGGGGTAAGCTCCCATTGAGATTTAATCACATTTCACTTAGGATGCTGATACGTCTTCTGTGGATTTGAGGTCTGACAAAGGCCTTTCGAATGAAGAGGTCAGAAAAACTGCTACTGCGAGCAACGAAGGTGATACGTTTACCTCAAAAGACGCTCGCCAATCAGATCTAGTCAAAGTAAGGAGAGTTTAGTGATTTATTTGCACCACAGAGTGGAAAGACTGAATCCTGGTCCGGGTCGACTCGCAAGGATGGCAGAGGCCGCAAAAGTGCAGTGACATATAAGGGTTCAAATCGTCGGAACGATGTTTCAGTGAATCCTTCGGATCAAGTCCCTGTTACCGAACTGAATGAGGTAAACAATAAAGGAAAAGCCAAAACACCTTTCGACAACGAAAGTAAGTGAGAATGAACGCTTTTAATTCATATTAGAATGGGATCCATATACCGAATACGGAGAATGGACCGGGGAACCTATTGAAGTCGTGAATTCCAACGCAGCCATTGAGGAGTGGTGTCCAGAACAATCAAATTTACCGCCAGAGTTGTTTGTGGATACCGAACACTCCGGGGCCAAGTAAGTTTTCTTGTTTCCACTTCACAATGTTTACAGGGACACAAACGTCGAAAATCAACCGACAAGTTCAGCACCGTCAATGAATACAACGGCCTCTCCGAGCTTGAGCGCGCTACCTGAAGTCGATTCTCTGTTCATTTCAAAGGCTCTTAGTAAGCCACCACCCCCNCCTGCCGGATGCTCCCGTATTTGTTGTACCTGATCTCTTACCTCGCTCTACTTCTCGTTGGGTGTTCAAATTTGGTGGAGAAACAGTGAGCCCCGTAAAACCCGCGACCGATTCATCCCATCTCCCATCCATTCAATCGGCGAAAGAATCCGTTTCGCATACTTCATGTACAGGCTTAACACAACCTTGTTTCACTAAGTCATGTCCTGATCCCGAATCTCAGGATTTTTCCTATGCGCCGCAATCGCCTTCTAAGTCGCCAACAGTTGGGTTCGATGTAAATAAGCCAAACACACCCAGAAGTCTTTTAGAAGACCCCAGTCACCCAGACGCCAAAGTGGAACAAGTGTCCTCCAACTTCGCCAATACTCATTTTCAAAACGTTACTCCCGTCCCGAAGACCACTACGGCCTACTCTTCGGGTACTAAAACCCAACAGCCAGCATCATTTGAATCCGAAAGTGGTACCAACCAGTCAACATTTTTAGAGCCCTCCTTCAAAAATTACTTGCTAGATGGTTTGTCCAGTGACGTCAGTAAGATGTCTGTGGGTGAAGCCTCAAATACGGGCGTCAAGCCATCACAATTCAACCTTCAACAGCCCGTTTCCCAGGGCCCACAAACACAATCTTCTTTCTCACACAACCAGGGTGGAGCTGCTGTATCTATGTCTAGTCAGATGAGCAAAGCGCCGTTATCACACATATCAACCCACAATCCGTTGCATTCATCCCAACAACCTGTTGTGTCAAGTGCCGCTCAGTCGCAGCAGCAGTCGGTCACGCTACCACCTGGAATGCCACACTTCATCAGTCAGTTCGCTCCTCCAGCCTATCATATGTTCAATTTACCTGGAAGTTCAAGCAATGCACCTACACTGTTCGATTTAGATCAACTACAGCTTTTTCAGCAACAACGTATTCTCTATGATATGCATTTACAGCATCAAGCAGCAACTACCGCTCAAAGCCTGCTCCCATCAACTGCGGACTCCACATCAACCAGCAAAACGTCCTCTCACAATGTCGCAGGCTCAATGGGTCATGTAACAGCTGCCGGTGCGGGAATACGTCCTGATATGCTCGCTTCAGCTATCGGTCATGCACCACAAATGCTCGCATCTGGACACCCGTATTTTCCCTATTCTGGATTGGTGTTTATGGTAAGTTCTTATTTTTGCTTCACTAATGATCGCTTTAGTGCAACGTGCACGAAGATCAGTAGGTTAGTTCTTGTCTTAAACCACATTCAGCAAGTATGTTTCCTATGTGACTGCCTGTTGAACATTTTAGGCTTATGCTACAGATTAATTTTGTAATACAAACTTCTAATTCCTTCGATTAACTGGCTTTTATTTTTAACCTAATACAACTAAATTGAACATCTAATTTTGAGGCTAGTGGATGTATATCTGTATAGTTCAGATGTACATGATGAAATGATCGATTTTCTCACAATCTACTCAGTCATTGCTACCAAGTTTGAATAGGCACTTGCTGCTGTACTGAGCCTTGGTCTTCCATTTTCGTAATACATTTTCGTTCAATTTGCTAGGAATAGAAACAAAGAACAACAGCGCGGATGGCTTCGAAATGCCTACACTGCGCAGAACGGCTGTCAATCNATCAGCCTATCGGTTCTAGGGTGTTAGTGGCATTGGTGATGAGGACTTACATGCCCCTCACGTCTAATTATTTCAGAATGGCTACACAAACGCTTTTCTCAATCAACAGCAGCAACAACAACCGTCTGGTCAGGATACAAATCAGTCTCAGAGTTCTACTCATTGTGGTTCTCCCATCACACAGCCTCAAGCACAATCTTCGGGACAACCACAATCGTTCGGCGGACTGAAACAGGTAAACGCTGGAGTTGGTGGCTATGACGATCTCATGGACATGAAGTATGGCGATCCGACGAAGCAAGGTCAGTATCTTTTGCAGTTTTGGTATACTTTGCTCAGAATAGTGTCAGAAGATCAGCAATAAATTATCTATTAAGTTCATTTTTTTGGGACCTGGTAACTTGCAACCTGCTTGTGATATGTATGTCTCTCGGTGACTTGATCGTCTTGGGCTTTATTCAACTCAGTATTGAATAAGTTTAGGTGCTCTTTAATCGTCCCAATAGCTAAAGTTCAGTTCGTCTGTTGTGAAACTAACACACTAATCAGGTCTTACGGAAGTAGTCTCCCGTAACTCTTGCTCTTTGTCCCCTCCAGTTTTGAACTCTTCTAGGGATTTGGTCACCGATACCTATCAAAACAGCTGAGTTACTTGCCTCTTTTAATTCCAATTTTACCGAACCTCCATTAACCCTCTTAAATCGCTTATATTATATCTGGAATTCACAACTGGGAATATTTTGCCTAGTTGTTTGCGGATATATTCGGACCACCCGGTCTATAGCCCACCAGTCGTGCTCAAGACTACCGTGCCACAAATCGCTGTTTTCTTTTATCATGCTCTTTCCCATTGTCAGATATTGGGAAACTGTTCAAGTCGTTTTCATCATTTATAGAGGCGCATCCTGTTATCCAAACAATTACCGACATCCTCACAGCCTGTTGCCATACGGGTCCCGCGATCTTCCGATATTGATAATAGCGTTTTACCTGTAGGGCGAAACAATCAGAAGTTAGGATTTTTAAAGCCACTATCCCCTTTTCACTTGGCTGCGTTCAATGTCCGCACGCTCTATCAGATTGACCAACAAACTACCTTGACTAGAACCCATGAAACCTTCAATTTAGATGTATCCTGTGTCTCCGAAACACGCATACAAGACCCTACTTCAATCATCTTGCGTTCTCTTGATCCGACCGCAACCTCACGCTTCACTCTCAGTGCGTTAGGCGATTCGGCATTCGAAGCTCGCTGTGATGTTTGTGTTGGGATTGCGCTAAGTGCCAAGGCTGAACGCTCTCTTCTTGACGGGATTCCCATCAGTAGCCGACTGTGCGCTGTACGTCTCAACGGTTCAGCACGGATCAACAGCTACCGAGCGAAGCGTCGATGGCATCCGACGATTGTCTGCCGCACGTGAGCGGTGCACGCATGAGAACCAGGCTGGCTTTAGACCTGGTCGAGGTTGTATCGACCACATCTTCACTCTTCGCCAAACTCAGGAGCGTCGTCATTCTTTTCGTAGACCCACCATCTCTGTCTTTCTCGATCTGAAAGCGGCCCTCGACTCAGTCAACCGCTTTAAACTCTGGCGCTGCCTTTCCCTTGCCCGAGAAGTTTATTTCAATATTACGATCCCTCTATACTCAACCGGAGTTAAGTCCAGGCTTACGGCACTTTTTCACCCGAGTTCACTACGAAAAGTGGTGTTCGACAGGGCTGCCCTCGCTACCCTTTTCTATTAAACTTTGTTATAGATCTGATTATGGAAACAGTCTTGTCCTCGTGCGTGGATAGCGGTATCGATTTACTCCCAAATGGCAGACTGTCTAATCTGGAGTTTGCAGATAAAATTGTGCTGCTAATCGAACATGCAGGTACGTTGCAAGTCTGAATGGTTTGAGTGCTAGTGTAGCCATGTTCGGTATGCGTTTCGCACCTTCAAAGTGTAAAATGTTATTACAAGACTGGGTTGGTCCAGCACCCAGACTCACTCTAACTGGAGAAATAATAGAGCAGGTGGATAAGTTTCGTTATTTGGATAGCTACATCCCACCCGGTGAACGCATCACGGATGACGTGTCAGCTCGCATACAGAAGGTTAGGTTGGCATTTGCCAACTTGAGACATCTGTGGTGCCGTCGCGACATCCAGTCGTCTGTGAAGGGTCGAGTGTATGCCGCGGCAGTTCGGCTAGCTCTGCTATGCGGAGCAGAAACTTGACCATTAAGAAAACAAGATAAAGATAGACTGTTGGTGTTTGAACACCACTGTCTACGCTGCATTGCACGAATCTGTTACGGTAACCGGACTAGCAATGCTGAGGTTAGGCGCAGAGTTTTAGGTAACCGCGGACTCCCACTGGAGCAAGTGGTCGACCTTCATAGATTACGTTGGTTGGGGCATGTGTTACGCATGTCACCAAATAGGTTGCCACGGCAAGCGATTTTTTCCAAGGCAGGTAATGGGTGGGATAAAGCCAAGGGTGGTCAATATAAGACCTGGCATGAGGGTATGAAAAAACTAACCAGGAGACTTGGTTCCGTTAGGCTCCCTGGCTGGGAACCCCGGGATGATGGTCACCGATGGTTAGAGACACTGAGTGACATTTCATTGCGCCTGTTCGCAAGCACCGATGATATCACCTCGACTGGTGATGAAACGTTTGCAAACAAATTGCCAAGCTCGGTGAACAGGCGCAATGGAAATCAGTTCACCCGAGCTACGAGAACCAATTTTCAATATTTTGTCAACTGAGTGACATGACTGGGTGTCGTAAACAGTGGCGTTTGTACATCTCGATTTCTTCGCAACATTAGTCCATTGAACTTCTCAATTTTCTCTTCGATCCTACTTCCAGTTTTCCTCCTGTTCATCCAAATGGGCAGTCAAAACATCAACCAAAAGCGACGCCCGGAAGTGTATACTTGATGGTTGTTGAAACTGAACTGAATCTGATATTGATAGTCGTCGCGTGTCGTATCTCTCTCTCCAAGATGTTCGAACGACTTCTTAATGACGGGCTTCTGTCCAAGCTACCTAGTTTTCAACTCCACCAGTTTCATCACTTGGGCGCGATTCTCCCACGTCAACCGTCCAGTCGTGGTTCACGTAATTTGAATCATTTCGGGAGCCTTCTCAGATAAACGTGGCGTCTCACAAGGTTTCATCTTATCGCATATCCTATTTCTTTTCTCCTAAAGGGTATTTATTCCCAAACTTGACTCTATCCACGAATTTGTTGATCACGCCACCTTATCATCATCATCAGGATAAATGTGCGCTAAAAATGAAAAGTACTCATCTAATGGTCAGCAATGGGAACTCACACTGCTGTCGGTTTACTACCATGACCTTCAGTGTCTGCAGCCATGCAGTTACGGATTCTTCTTGACCCTCACCTCGGTGACCGGTGGTAGCGTCACCAAATTGTCATTCCGGGATGTGTTCGAATCCCACCACCGCCGCCNACCGCCGCCTAACTTTTCCTATTGTGTGTTGCAGTGGCAGCTCTTTGATTGTCTGCTTCCCCCCTTCCTAAAAGCTGTATCTTTGTATACTCAATAAAAGGAAGTAAACTAGAATGAAGACGAGAGACACGTAATCGCTCCGTGCACTTCTTCAACTCCCATCGCCACGTCGTCTCCTGGCCTCCACGTGGCTTTCTCTAGTCTGCAAGTAAGGCGCGCTGCGGTAAGCGACCGTCGGACATACGCAAAACGTGTCCTAACCAACCGAGCCTATTGAGCTGAATTGGATAAAATAGCGAGTTTGTGTTCAATGTGTCCCCAAACACCCGACGACCTCTAGGTTACTCACTTGCCCACTCCATCTCACCTAGGCCAGACTACCTGAACATCGATTATGGATAACCTCCAGACGACGAATTCAAGGTCTAAGCCGCAAAGCAGAACTGATCGTACCGTAGCGCAGCATACGCGAGTTCGCAACTTCAACAAAACGCCACAGGTGTTTTAGTCCTGCGCACGCTACTCGAGCGTTAAATGCCTGCAGTTTTTTTCTTTGATGCGCTACTGTCCTTGGTCACCACTACCCATGCACGGGAAGCATTAAACCGACCGTCTAGTTTCAGAACGGAATTCGGTGACACCTAGTCTTACAGCATCACTTTGCACTTTGAAGGTGCAGAGCGCATGCCGAACGGAGCGACAGAACTAGTCTGTCAAGTGCACTTTGTGTATCCTCCATACATTCCAACAGACAAACGAAATCGTCAACTTACTTTACGTCGCACAGTATTTTTCCGGGTGTCCAATTGATAGCGACATTTTGGAGACCACTTAGTACGTCCTGTATTTCGTCTGTGACGAAATTGAACAGGGATGCCGAAAGGGGGCATCATTGACGAACACCGCTGCGAGTTTCGAACGACCTATTCAGCTTGCTATATAGACCCTTACGCTACCAGAATTATGAGTGAATGTTCTCAGTAGGTTCACATAATTCAGCAGCATTCCTTTGTGAAGGAGCGAACCCACAAGGGATTCGTGGTCAATTAAGCCGAAGGTTCCTTTTGGGTCAAGGAACACGACAACCGTTGGTCGACTGTCTGTATAACGTAGTTCGATAACTTGACGCACAGTGATGGTTTGGTCGATACAACCGCGACCTAATCGAAGTCTTGCTTGTTGTTCGCGGATATTTGTCTCCCTAAAGGGAGTTAGACGTCGTAGTATGACGGAGGCTAATGGCTTTTTGACGATTGGAATCAAACTCATTCCAAGGTGGTCTGCGCAGTCGTTGCAAGATTTCTTAAAAATTGGTACAATCAGTGATTCGCCCCAGGATGATGGAATGCGCTCTTGTGACCAGATGTTACGCATTAAATCATGTCCTCACCCCCGTCCTCCAATCTTTAAAAGACCAGGAGGAAGCCCGTCAGGTCGTACTGCTTTTCTTCATGTCTTGGATACAAGATCGTACTTCTACTTCAGTAGGAGGTTCGAATGACTGCCCACGGAACCTCAACCACATCAGACGAGATAGTCTGGTTAGCGCCTGGCCAGCTGGACTGTTCGTTGAAGTACTCCGCCCACCGGTCAAGTCGTTCTCTATTGTGAATAGCGTGTGCACTTTTGTCGCTGAGTGTTTCGCTAACTAGTTCGCCAACCTCCCTTGTTGCGCATCAGTTGGAACGGTCTTTGAATATTCCCTGATGCAACTGATACTTCCATTTCACTAGCTATTGTTACCCACTAATTTTCAGTCTTTCTTGGGGCTGTTCGTGAGCTGACGTTGCAGACGCCACTTAATCCTGCTTTGATCTAGGACAGTCGGGATTTGTTGCTTTTCCTCCATCATTACTACTGACTCATCAGATACCCAATGCTTCGGACAGACCACCGCTTCAGATTCACGAGTAACCTTAACTGAGTAGTGTATTACCCGTCCAGTCTGATCCTATCGTTCATCTACACTATCACGCAGCGCGTTTAGCTCTTGACCTAGTTCACGTTGAAATCGAGCGCGAGTGGCTGGGTCAGACAAGCGATGGTTTATCAACCGAGTTTAGTGGATTTTTCTGCGACTAATGAGTCGGGAGTAAACTTTTTTTATTACATTCGTAATTGTGATGAACAGCAAACGGGACGGACCCCATAATCACGAGGACCCGCTGTTCAGTGGTGGAAACCGGTAACCTAAGCCCCGGGACTTGGAGTGGCGAACCACATAAGGCTCCGCTGGGTTAGGGGTGGTACTAAACCGGGCGACGGCAAAGCTGTCTACCACCAAACTGCATCAGAACTACTGGGTGATCAGATTCTACGCATGTGGCCCAATAGGATCTGCAGTTTTGTGTTGAGCCACGCCAACGGTACATTACTGCAATGTAGTCGATTTGAGTTTGCGTGCCAGTTTAATTGAAGCGTTACTTGGCTGTCCGTTGAGAGCTGTGTCGGAAGTTGGTACTGGATAGGAACAGATGATGATCTGTACAGAACGTAAGAAGTCGATCGCCATCATCTGTTTGTTGGTAGGGTAGAGCACAGCGACCGCCTAGACAAGCTTCCTATGCACTCGGTTTGCCAAATTGAGTGGTAAAACCACCTGCGAGTGAAACTATATCGGAGCTTCATTTTAAACGATTAAGTTCGGTTAGTTTGTCGTAGAGCTCGTCTATTTGTGCGTCAAAACTGCAGTTGGTCGGTGCATACACGGAACTAATGAACAAACACCTGTTTGTTTCTATCCTCAGATATCGAACTTCTATCTTTCAATATTTTTTCTTCCGAGGACTGCGAAATTGCGGAACACTCCCCATTTCCGTGTTTCCAAGCACTTCACTCTTTTCAAAAGCAGGATTAACAAATTGATGCGTATTTAAATGTTCCCCCACACGCCTCCCCCTTACAGCACATCATTGATTATGGGGTTTGTCCCTTTATGTCTTTACTCACTTCGTGTGTAATAAAAAAGGATGCAAGCCGCGTGTGTGAGCAAATGACCAAAATGAGTTATAAAGAAAAAGCTGAAAAATGGAACCATAAAAGTCTCTCGGTCAGTCCCTGAGAAACACTTCAGTGTGCCGTGAAACTGACTCTCCTCCTAGCTACACTTCTGGTCTGTGATGTTAGAGCACGTCTCCGTTCCAGGGCTTGGGCTGTCAATATAGCCGAATAGCGGATCCATTCTGGTCACTTATCGTTTCAAGATGTTTGATAAAGAGACATTTTTCATAAGCGTTCGCGTTTATCTAGTTTACGGGTAGGCGATATTGGAACGTTTTGGTTACGGTCGTTGGTTGCATCACTTTCGACTTAACTAGCGTTACTTGGGCGACAGATGCTTAGGTCGTTGTTTATTTACATTCTACTGAGCACTTGGTGTCTCACTCCAAGTTTCAATACTCATTTCTCTAGATATTGTAACAGATTTGTAAGGTCTTGCGATTATGAAATTTACTTCTACGCCGGTCTCATTATTTTCCGTGATAATGAATCACTTATGCGTTTCTTTTTAATGCTCAATGCTTTTTGTCTTGTTAAATTCCAATTGTTTATTTGGCTGACTGATCGGGTACTCTGCTCACAGATGCAGCCGAAGCACGCAGGTACTTTCTATACCATAAAATATTTGTGATAACCGACAAAGAGCGCTGGATAACTCTTTCGTCCTGTTTGAGATTCCTTATTAGCACGTACTTTTTCTGTCCTAATCAAGTCTCGAATCGCGTGCCTTAACCCTTAGCTTCAGGGCCGAAGGTAGTCACCTTGGACAAATAGCTCAATCAATTTAGATCATCGTGTTTTGAAAAATCCCATTCAGCTGTTCGAAGACACGAAGTAGTGTTGATATTCTTGGGTATGGGTTTCACTTCGTGAGAGATCGTTAATTCCCCACCGATTGAATGCCTTATAACCGTATAACCCAAGGGTGACTGGTGAGAGATTAACAANAAACCCAGACCCAAGACCATCGGCAGTACCTCGGGCCTGTGAAAAATCGAACGGACAACTCCAAAACATACAGTAAACACAGCTACTGCTTGTATAGGTTGAATTGAATTGGACTCCGAAAGGTGACAGCACAGAGTTGCATAACGTTTGTACCTTCCTTAACATAAGATAATTGATGAATGATATAACGGTGATCGTAAAACTGCAACAACTGAAATACTGAGTTTCAAAGTACGAGTCAGGGGTTCCGCTCTACTTTAGGTTGACTGGTTCAATTATCGAATATCGGTAAAAACTCCGTGCGGGTGTCTTGAGTTGTGACTGGTCATCCTACCCCTACACCTAGCGAATTGCTTCAACATGGCCAGACTTATCAAGTGACCCATGCTGAGAAAGCCATTGACACTGCAAGTACCCCACGAGTGACCTTCACCCCCTTAAATACCAGTGGTTTCCGTGAGAGTCATCTTCGGTACTCTTCTAAGGCCTCCTTATACCGATGGTATGCAATTCCGTTGCGTCTATGTCGTTTATTTGTTTTCCGATAATTTGGAAGATCCTGTCGAACTAAAATATCTGTGTACATATTAAATATAATTGAAGCACATATTAGAGCATGAGTTTAGGAATAATGCAATGAACACACTGTGCAGATGAACACCTGATAAGCGATAGAGTTTACTTCAGAACCTTCTTTCCATTAAGGTAATTTTCTTTATCCATACATTAGCGATAAGATCACACTTTTCAGTTAAGCTATCACTCACTGAAAATTTTAATATTGTTTTCATTTTGTAGTGGGTTTCAAAAACAACTCAAATCAACCTAACTACGGATCTTTCCAGACAGCCGGAGCTTCAGAATCTGTTGGCCAGAAATTATCGAATGCACACCAGTCAGGCGCAGGTCCTTTAACTCAAGGCAGCTTCAACACTACTGCAAGTGGTGCCCACACACAGCACTTCCCACCACAGTTCTATCCCCCTGCGGCGACATCCCCATATCTAACTGCAGCGGCCGTTGCTGTTGCTGCAGCTGCAGCAGCTTCAGTGCAACAGCAACAAGCTTCAGTTGGTGGAGGCCCATCTTCTGCGAATCCAAACCAGTCAAATGCTGGTGGCGGTGGTAATACTTCTGGCCAAGGCAGTACTGGTGGTACCGGGACTGGTGGAACGAGCAACGCAAGTGGCCAACTACATTTGACCGGAAATCCAGCGCAGCCACTAGTACTTGGTGCTGCAGGAGGTGGTCTGCACCACCGTCATCATCAACGTTCGGTTATGCCCCATTAAAAAAATGAATAACAGATAACCCGGTCTTGTGTGTATCTTCGCTATCACCCTCACCTGTTCTCTGACGGAGTCGAATGATATGTGCGGCATTCTTCGGTTTACTTGTTTTAGCTGTTTCGTTCAAAAACAAAACTTTTGTGGTGTGACGTAATGTGTGCGCGCCAGCTTGTCAACCGGCGCGCCTTCAATCCATCGGTTCCGTCCTGAGTTATTCTGTCACCATAATACCCCATTTATGAACCCGTCATACGTGACCAACCATGCTTCCCCACAGCACTCTTATTTCTAGTTTCGATTTAGCGCACAGATGGCTGTGGAGTTTATCTTCCCTACGGTATGTACATACGGATAGTGATCTCGTGAAACCGAACGTTATGGGTGCGTGCTATTTTTCGCCCCGCTTCGCCTCACCGCTTGTTGGTTCTACCGGTAGTTTAGTTCACCCCATCTTAACCCTCAAACGACCTTCACTCCTTCAAGCACAATCCTGATTTTTCGTGACGCGTATGTACACTGTACTGTCTATCGCTCGGTCACTTGGACTGATTCATTGCCACTGGTGCTGCTTATGTCAGCTTCGCTTTTTATACTCATTCCTACCAACGTTAATTTTGCTTGGTGTGGCCGTGACAGATGAGTCCCCGTTGGAAATGCATTCAGTTATTGAAGCAATCTTCTTGTTCTTTGTTGGTCTATTTCAAGTCAGAAGTTCGCCCTAAGTCGTATCCTCGTTTGCAGGTCGTATGGTGGATCATGTCACAGGAATCGATGGCAGATAATTGTCCATCCAATCTTTGGTTTCCTTACATTCGAAAGCATGGCTTTTACGATCCCATTATTGCGGGTAGCATCGACGGCACCGACGAAGCCCCACACGACCGAGCCATAGTTCGGGCTCTGTCGGCCAATTACAAGCCAAATTATCAAGCTGTTCTCGATGTCGACCCCAAGGTTAGAGTTATTTGCTTGTGCTCTGTATATGGTTTTTGAAAAACTGCTCTTAATTGTCGTACGTTGGATCCCACGATTATAGATGTTGGTCTCTTAGTGGCTGTTTTCCCTTGGTTCTAATACTAACCCTTTAATGGTAGTCCTTGCACGACAGATCAAAAGCGGCGCCATTCCTTAAAATGTTTCACTTATTCTAATGAGATTTCGATAGGTGTCTTAAGTGATGTCGATGATTTTTTTTAGCTAATTAGAAGCTGAATGGGAGTTCTTCAATTAAGTCGACCCACGTAGACCAAACTCGTGATCAGAAGGTAGACTGTATATTACAAAGTGCTTATTCACCGAATTGATCAACTTTGGATCCGTGGATTTAGGGAGGAAGCAAGAAACCAAATACGTTGAAGGCACAGATCACAATACTGTGTACTTTGAAGCTTGGTTCTTCTACCAATAGTTATCGCAGTACTAATTCTAGATTCGTATTTACCGTTTGAAAAGACTTGAAGCCGTTAGAGAAATTAAAAAAACCGCCTAGACCGCATCTGTGCCCGATAGTGAGCGATAGATTTCACCTACCGATACCACTATTTTCTTTGAATAAGTTCCTGACTGCAATATTCCCTCGTTAGAAAAACCGCATACTATCAGCCCCTATGTATATGGTCAGAACAGTGCAGATTGGTCGGTGGTGGCATTTGTTTCATCGAATTATTTACATTTGAACACTAGGCTGTCCGTCATAGTTATTAACAGCTTCACTTTCATTTATTTTCATTCTGAGGTTAATGCTTCTAACGATGTGCTCTGACTGAAAACTTGAATACCCAAACAAAATGTTTACTGGTTTAGTTCGCATTGTTGATAACTTTTGTATTCTTGTCAGAACCCGATCGCCATTGCACGCATAGTAATGAACCGTTTCATTACCATTGTACAGCGAAAGATGCGAAAGGGAACTTCACCGATCACTACCGAGCTCAGTGTACTCAAAGTAATTCTGACTGTATAAAATGGGCACAAATATGACCCAATTTTAGGGAGGCGAATAAATTTAACCTCTGTGATCAATAGAACGCCCAGCCTTACTGTGCACACATTTTAAGCATCAGACTCGGTAAGAAATAACAAGCGGAGCGCCGCTGTTGTCGATTGTTTGCCATGGCCTTCATCATCTTCAGTTACAGAGTCCTTTGGACCTCAATCAACGAAACCCGTTCATCTGAATTCGATGTAATTACTGAGTCCCCATATAGTCATTACCAGATACTATTTGGCTTACCTCCGAGTTGCTTGAATGCTCGCACCATCCAACTACGTAAACATCGGTAGTCGAAGACTTCTAGAAGTATGAGTATCTTCCACACAAATTTAGTGTCTCACGACCGTAAAGCAGGGTTAACCGCAAAGCGGCTCAGTTTGCGCGCGCGTTTCGAGGAAATATCACGTCGGCACGAAAGGTGTTTCAGTCTTGCGTATGGTGTTCGCGCCGTGGAAATGTGTGGGGTTAATTTACTATGTTACTGTCATTTGTCACGCAACCATCCAAGTCGGAGAAGCAGTCCACTGTAACTAGTATCTGACAGCCAATCATTGGCGTTGGGGTTGACGACACTGTCTTGCACCATCACGTTGCACTTTGAAGTTGACGAA